AGAGAATGTTATACAGGGTGGAACTGTCTCTGTCCTAAGGCCCCATCTTCATTTGTGCCCTGAATCTCATTCCTCCCTCCCTCTCAAGTATTTTGTTCCAGCTCCCCAAAGATTGATCCTCAACTCCTACTTTTCTGTAAAACATACTCCTTAAGGGTTCTCACTAGTCCCATGGTTTTAAGAACACACTGATGTCTCTAATGATGGCCATGCATCATCCCTGGTGTGTCTGAACACTCAGCCCATTAGCAAGTCCTCTTGAGCTATCCCTTCAAAGTGTATCTTAGGACCATTACTGTATGATTCCACTTACATGAGGCACCTAGAATAGGCAAATTCTTAAAGACATCATGTAGAATAGTGGTCACAGGGGCTGGAGGGTGGGAGTCAAGGGGAGCTCGTGTTTACTGGGTACAGAGTGTCAGTTTGGAATGATGATAGTTCTGGGCATAGAGAGCCCTGATGGTTACACCCTGTAAAGGCATTCAATGCTACTGAACTTCATAGTTAAAAATGGTTAATATGGTAAGTTTAATGTTATATGTATCTTACCACATTTTTTAAAAAGATCAGTTCAGAAAATATGTATGTATATATTTGAATCCAACCACTTTTTACTACCTCTTGTGCTGCCATCCTAGTTCAAACCACTGTCCTGTCTCACCTGCATTGTTGCAGCAGCCTACTCAAACATCTCCCTGCTTTTAACCCTGCCCCCTCCCTCAGTCTGATCTCTGCACACAACAGCAGAGTGATGCTTAAACCATCAGGGAGATCCTGTAATTTGCCAGATCAAAACTCTAGAATAAATTCCCTCTTTACAAAGGCCTTGCTCTCATCAAACCCCAGAGGCCTTTGTCCCTGCTTTCAACTCTCTCCAGAATGTTCTCCCCACGGCTGACTCTCTGACTTCAGATCTCTGTCTCCAGGTCACCTTCTTCTAGAGGCCATTCCTGATCACCTGATCCAAACTCTCCTCCCAACACACACATGTGCTTACATGCAGACATGTGCACACACGCCAACATATGTATGCCTTCCTCTGCTTTATTTTCCTTAATAGCTCTTTTTACTTCTGACATCATATGTTCACTTGTTTGCATATTTACTTACTACCCTGTTGGCCTCTCTTGACTTAATCTCAATGAACTGCCTATTGCTACTCTTCTAGACTTTACCCATGACTGGTACTAACAGGAATTCAAAAAATATTTGTTTATTAAAGGCATAATCATAATTATTTGAGACTTTGCATATATGAAGTTTAGCAAATTGAAGATGAAGTGTTCTAAAGCAGGTAACTGGTCATGTCTGAAATAATTCTCCTTTAAAAAATAAAGCCCTTCAGGAACCAGTGACAATCGTTCAGAATGGACTGATGACAGAAGGGATGAGTGGAGAGAAGAGAAAAATGAGATCATAGGTGCCAGAGTCCTGAGAAAAATCCAAGACACTGGTGCTTGCAATATTATTTATGAAAAACTGACATGTTGATGAGACAGGGTTTAAAGCTTCCCTAAGCAGGATTTACTTAATATGTAAGGAAAATATTCTTCAGAAGATTAGGTCATTTATGCAAGAAAATAGACTTGTTGAAAGGTAACTGTGGTATGCAGGTCACCTTTAAGTGATCATAAGGAGGGGCACTTAAATGAGGAAAATACTGAGTGTATTCAGACATCCCCAGGGTCATCCTAAGTGTAGTCAGTGGCGAACAGTATTATTGTGGAATAGTGGTATAGTGTCAAATTTTCCGTAGATTCAACTGGGGCCTCCTGAAATTGAGTTCCAACTGTTGTATTTTAGATTTCTTAAAAGTGTTGAAGGAAATGAAAAAGTAAATGAGATTTTTAGAATGATCTTACAGAATAAAATTGTATTTTTAGTAGGAAAAACTATATTACTGCTAATTACAATATAGAGAAAAAAATAGTGCCCAGACTAGAAAGCAGAGTTGCTGCTCTAAAATATCAATGGGGGACTGCATTAAATATTTGTATTCTTATTTCTGCTGTTTCCTATTATAACCACGTCACCTTTTCCCCCTTCTTTCTCCATCCTGTTCTGGAGGCTCCTGTGTTCTCAGCGGGCACTTGGCTTCACTGCCAACTGAATGAAGACTCTGCTCTGCCTCCTACCTCACCTGCTCCCCTCGCCTGGGCCCAGGCCGCTTCTGAAGCGTGGAGGACTTGCTACTCTTTCTGGGCTTGTGGGATGAATACAGTAAAAAGACAAGTTGACCTATGACTCATGTTGGAGGGTGACCCACAGTCTCGGTTTGCCTGGGACTGTGGGGGCCCAGGGCCATGGGACTTTCAAGGCTAAATCGGAGAAAGTCCCAGGCACCTTGCCCTACTGATCACCCTTCCACTATTACGTTCAGGGATAGAGCTGGTGTAAGAGCTACCATGGCACCAGTCACTACAGCACGTGGGCAAATTCCCTGACCCTGAGGATTTTAACTTCCTGTGATGTCAGGGACCTCCTCCAGGCATTTTTACCCTCCTCTTCCCATTTAATTATTTTTGCCGAATGGGAACCTGTGGGTTTCTATCAAGCCTTAAATATAGTCCCCAAAGCAAGGAGAATTCTGTTTATAAATTATGATGATTCCGATGACCATCTGCCTCCTCTGCCCCCACCCTGTTCCACCTACTGTCACTTAACCTACTCTAGGGGCTCAGTTCCTACCCCAGACTCTAAGCCTAATTCTGTTTGTAGGCTTGGAACATTTCAGGAGTCTCAATTCTGCTTCTCCTAGCTTGGAAGCTTGGTCTGTGCTTCTCCCTTACTTTGTACCCTGCACAGTTGACTGGGTCCCCACTTATCAAAGCACCTGTGTGCACTGTCTTCCTTGATGATCCAGCAAGGATCCAAGGTCTTCAAGCATGGCATGAAGCATGTGCACTTGCCACGGCTCCTCCAGTGCCCCTGGTGGCCTGACCATCAGGACCTCATTTATGTATACTTGGCCTGCTCTGTGCTTCCATGCTGCTGGGCTCTGCTCCGCATGAGGCCAGGCTGCTACCCCTGAGCCTCTCTCGCAAGGCCATCCACGCATACAGCTCTGGAGAAAGGTGCCCCTCCAGGCATATCGATTACAAAAGTGTACCTGCCCCTCTGACATGAACAAGTAGAAAAAAAGCTTCCTTTCCTTGGAGCAGCCTGGAAGGTACAGGACTTGGGAAACAGAGTCAGTCTGGGTTTTAACTCCCACTGGCACCGCCTCTGTTGAACGTGTAACTCACAAAAGCACAAACCTAGCTTTCCTCCTCACACTACTGACTAAGGGGCCCAGCTGCCACCAGGGCCTGCCACAAGGACATGCTTTGCTTGTCTGGACAGATTTCATCTCATTACCAAGCACTGAATTTGACCCTGAATTTGCTCTTTGTCTGCCCTGCTCTCATGTCCTTCCGCTTTCAGGTCACTTCTGTTGAAGCTCTTTTTCTTAATTCCATGGTGTTAAAAAAAAAATAGTGCTATAGCCTGTAAAAATCCAAACAGATAACACTATTATGTTACATTTGCCCTTTCTATCAAATATTGTAATAAAATTCCATGACAGTATCATAAAACCTATGCCCATTGGTTATAGTGCTTTGTCACATTTGATTTCTGCTGGTTCCTGGATCGATTTTCTAGTCTTTTTTAGTCATTTTTTCCAAAAGGTGTTTACCCTGGGAGATAATCCTATGTTTCTCTTTCCAAAGACAATTGAGTCTCAGATAGAAGAGTTTCTTAATACAATTTCGACTTTAGGCCTACACCAAAATGTATTACTTCCAGATTTCTTGGTGAAAAAGACAAAGGTATGAAACTTGACTACTCAAATAGCAGTAGCTCCTAAAAGATGGAACTAGAAGAGTACAGGAAAGAGAAGTTGTAGTTTGATAGGTTGGATACCCCAGTTCTGGGAGGAAGGTGGCTATAGCAAGGAAGAACCATTTGGGACAGACGCAGAGGAAGACTAGAGAAGGGAACAGCCATTTGCACAAGCTAAATCACATTTCACTGAACTTAAAACTACCTAGTCAAAGAGAATCTTTTGACATTTGGAATTGCCAGCTTTGAAAGTTCAGTCAATTAGATCCAACTTTCCCTGATGGAAGAGACGATTACCACAAAGTTTGAGCCTGCCACGAAGTCTCATGTGTTACTTTGTGAAAATGAATTGAATTTTATCTTGTGAGGAGGGACGGTAGATTATTTTCATACCTCTATCACATTTAAATGCAAGCCACTTAGTGACTTACAGAGGATTGCTGTTCGTATAATATTTTAAAATAGTTAAAGTGCTTTTTATAGTTATAAACATATGAAGCAGTATAAAATGTTTTTTATAATTAAATGTGCGCATGGTTAAGTATAGCATAGAACACATAAGTACTTAAGAGATGATTTTAGTGTAACCATCAGATATGTATTATGTGGTTTACATAAATATGCATGTATACTAAATACATATATATCTGTGGGCAATGAATGAATTCATACATAAAATTAAGAGAGAGTTTAGAGTTTCATCAAGATGATGCTTTAGTTTAGGCAATGTCAGTTCCCTTGAAATGCCTTCACACAGCCAGATCTGTGCTAAGATCAAAACCATTTTTTTTCTTCTTTTTTTTTTAACCATCAAAGATAACTTAATAAATGGAAACAGTTTCTCTAGGGTGCCTTTCCTCCTTGGAGTATTGTATAAGGGACGTAGGGAAAGTTTGGAAAGGAATGGTTATCTGCATTTTTAAACTCCAAATGGGGTGAACTTTTCATGCATGATCAATGAGCTTTAGACCACTCACTGGGTAACACCTCCTAGGCCTCCAATCCTCCTCCTCTGGGTGACATCCTCTGATTCTAACCACTGGCACAGCAGAAATAATGATCCATGTTTGAAACCTGCTCAAGTTTTTATAATATTGCTGCATGGTATACTTGAAGTTACTCATTTTTAATTTATTTCCTATGGTGCATGGCAGTGAGAACAGTGGCCTACTTACTTGTGTTTATCTTCTGGAGGGAAATATGTTTTTCCAGTTGCCTCCTCAGCTTCACCTCTGCTCCGTATTTTCCAGTGGTCCCATTGTCAGCCAGAATGAAGTGGGAATGCATGCTGTTGAGGACAGTGAGCTTGCTCATGGGATTGGACATGGTCTGATATGGCCGGACAACCTGCAGGATTTCAAAAGGAAGAGGAGGAAGTCAGAGAAAAGAAAGTAAAATATGACAAGAAGAACCAGACAGAGGAAAGAGGGAGAAGGAAAAATCAAGTCTTTGATACAGAAAACGTATAGTCTGCATCTTCCTAACACTGCTTTGGGTAGAAGCAAGATTTATAGTCAATGTTCCACTCAAACCAAGATTATACTTCAAGGATTATGTAATTATTTATTTATTGAATTTACGCAGAAAGTAGAATTTGGGCTTGCACTGGACTCAAAACTGGCATGTGAGTGACTTTTGTTTTGAAGTCTATCTTTTATTTGCTGAGGAACTAAAACTAATGTTGGTATTTTGCTACTTTCTTTCCTCTGTCATGCCCACACTAATAGGCCCAGCAGAGTATTAGGATTCTGGAGTGTGGTGATGGGTGGGGTGAGAGCAGGGGTGATCTTTTCAGTCAAGCCTATATAGTAATCTGAAGGTCTGTTACTTAAAAATCAATACTGTGCTTATTAGATACCTTCTTTAAGTGGAAATGTTAATGTAAAATAACTGTCTCAGGAGAGGAATGTAAATCAGGCCCAAAATATTCATCTCTGTCTTATCTTTTGCTGTGTTATTTTGATTTCATGGTGACTTACACTACCTAAAACAGAACAATTCTTTGTGTGGTCTTCCAGAGTCTTGATACTAAAAGAAAATAAAAACCCATTGTGAGCTATTTGCTTTCTATGCATTACCTATATTCCTTGCAGCAATCCTGCAAGGAAGATACCATTATGATTACTGTGTAGATGAAGAAACAGAAATGGAAGTAAGGTAGGTTTACCAAGAGTTTGCTACACACAGAACCAGAATTCACACCTAGGTCTCCCTGATGCAAAAATCTTTGCTTATTCCCCTTTCCCGCACTGCTTAGACACAGTAGAAACATGACAGTGTGTTGGAAATCTACCCCTAAAATATTTAGGTAGAAACTTCACTCAAGACTATGAATAGGAACATTCAACAAGCTCACTGTTACCCAGTCCCCAGTCCAGTTACCCCTGTACTGAATCATAGAAGCTGACATGTCAGAAATGAATGCTACTGGGTTTTTATTTCTGTGCCTTTGTGCAGTGTGTACATTAATTATGAAGTTGAGATACTCTGGTTCATTTTCAGTATGCAATAACTCACTGTGAAAAGCTGCAGTAAGATTGAGTAGTTTGTTAAAAGAATTACATAGTGATTTAGTAAGGACAGTCTTCAATAGTAAAGATCTCATAAAAGTCATTACTTTTTAGATCATGATACTGACTTCAAACCCCATATTTCTATGCACCTGGCAAGCAAAATCTACTCAATAAATAGTGAATGAATGAACAGCAAAACTTGAGACAGACCTGCTTTTGTTCAAATTGAAAAAAAACAAACAAACCTTCTTTTCTGAATTGTTTGGGAACTGAGCTTATCTAAATTTAAAATGTGCAATTCTGAGCTTTTGAAATACATTTCATTCCTCTTACTAGCTGTCCTATTTGTTAATTTAGCATTAGTATACCATTTACTCAACTTCATTGTAATTGGCTCTTATTGATGAAGGAAGTTCATAACTTATTGATTATTGTTTCCAGCAATGGGTGGAATTGTTTCCAGTAATGGAGCAGTATTCAAGGACTCCTTTGTCTAGAGGAATGAATGAGAGTCCCCCAAATACACAGACAGTATTTTGCTAACCCCATCCTGAATTCTTTATCACTGGATGAGAGGGTTGCTTTCGGTTGAAATTCCCATTTTGTTGTTACTCATTCTTGATCATAAAACATTCATTCTACAGCAGAGTGCAAGCTGATGAATATTAATGCTTTGTTGAAAGAGGCTTAGCAAAAAGACTTTCTCCTATTCTTGAACGGCCTCTGCACTGCTTTTGGACAAAAGAAAATTCTTCTATTACGCTTCTCTTTTCTAACAGCAGGTCCCCCATGGCCCCATGCCAAGGTAGAGGAAGACCCAAAGAAAGCAGTTTTATGAGAAGCAGGGGACACTGGATTTTCTAGAGGTTAAACTATGTATGACGGTGAATTCCAGACACTTGTTCTAGTCTAGACATGAGGACAGGTTGTCCAATTCCTGGAACCTAATTAGAGACCATCAGTGAAAGTAATACTTTCAAATGAATAAAGGAGTGAAAACCATTCTGGGCCAAGCTGACGTATTCACCACAATCTGGGAATGAAAGAACATAATTAAATCATCTGACTATAATATTCTGTGTATCTATTTCCTCCACCAAATGATTTAGACAGTTGTGCTTTAGTCTTCTGAGTTTTGACCTTTTCTTGAGATATACGGTACACCAGCTCTTTGGAAATACTGTACATTTGAATCAGTCATGGCAGAAGGGTCAAGTTTACAGTATCATTCATAAATTTAAATTTCTTCCTCTTACTGCTCCCCATTTCTTTTGATCATATGTGAAGGTAAGTTAAATGTGGTCATATTGTGGCAGAGACTTTGCTAAATAATAGGGGGAATAAACCTGTAAAGCAAGTAAAATGCCTTAATTTATTTTCCAGTCACCACTGGAGGAAGATATACTGAATCTCGAAACAGTCCTGAAAGTATGAGCTATGGAAATCTGTTTGAACCCTACTCCTACCAATGTCTGTGTGAATTCGAGTCTGACATTTTTAATGTGCAAAAGGGAAATAATAAAACCACTTACATCATGGGGGTTAGATGGGATTATATGTGCAAAGTACTTGCCTCCATGCCTGGCTCCTAGCAGGTGATCTATAAATGTGAATTCCTTTGCAAGCTCTGCTTTATTTTACCAACTATAAACTGAGTTTCCAATTGCAAATAAGTAACCAAAATGAAATGATGGGAGACAAACCATTGACTTTTATTTTACTGTAAGGATTTAAATCAATCAATGAAAGGAAAAAAAATCGCAATCAGTTGGCAAAATATGCAAAGTGCTTTTCTTTGCCACATCCTCCCAGGCCATTTAAAAGGGCGATGCTCTGAAACTATTGGTTGATTAATGGCTAAGTTGGAAAATAACTTCCCACATACTTCTTCGGAAGAATGTCTTTTGGCCTAACTTGCCTACAAATCCTCTTAATATTCTTTGTGACCAACATGACAGCAGTCTATTTTTGTGTGAATTATGATTTGCATATCTACAAAAGATTTGCTGATCTTCCTGCAATGTTTTTCAAATAGGAAAAAATAATGTCTCTATATCACATGAATACAAATGAATTTTTCCTCCTGACAAAAATTTTGGAGGAAACGCACCCACTTTCATTGTTAAGAGCTCATAATAATGGGACCTTTTTGAAAATGTGTATATGTGAGTGCATGTGTGCTAGCAAGAACGCTTATAACATGTTCATGATTTACAGATGTATTAGATTACTGCAGCAAGTTACTCAGTGTTTCCTGAGAGAGTCAAGTCCTAATGCCCTGCAGTATCTATTGTGTACAATTGATCACCTTCTCTCTTAAGAATATAGGATGGATCAGGTTCTGCGTCATCCCTGAGAGATCTGAGAAGAAAGTCACTCCAAAAATAATTTCCTGTTTCATGGTTCAGATGGGGAATCTGGGTTGAGGAAGCCTGGATGGGGTCGGAAAGGCCTACCTATCAAGTGAACATCCGTGATTGGTAAACACAGTAGTATCTATATTTAGAAGAGAAGTTTGCTTAGAAATTGATTTTAGATACTTAGTACTGTTTGGGTGTCATGGGCCAGAATATCTCTAAGTAAAGACATTTTGCCTCCCTTTCTTGTCCCTCAAGTGTGGATGAGAGAATTCCTCACTCATTAAGCCACTGTGCACACCACTCCATCCTGGCTGGTTAGTAAAATCCTGTACACCTGGACTCTGAAACAAAGAGGCAATGCACTGGGGGCTGTTTAAGGAATTTTTGGAGGTAAAGGCCCTTTGTATAAGGTATTTGTCATGATCATTATCATTATTATTTGTCCTTGCCAGGCGGGGATTGATCCAGAGACATTGGAAAAACTGGACATCCTTCATGTGCTGGTGCCAGAAGGCTGCATTTCTTTTCCCTAGATGAGCTTAAATTGATCATTTTGGAGCTGCCCTAAGACACCTGCTTGAGTTTTCCTAGCTATTTACATACATGTTCTGGTCTCATCCAGGAGTACCTGGTGGGAAGTCAGAAGATGGGGCTTCTAGTTTTAGCTCATCTAGCTACTGATTTGTGATATTGGGCAAGTCTGTGACCTCATTCATTCATTCAATTACCCACTAAAAATGCTTGAGGAAATGTAAGTGGTCCGTATTATGCTGTTTTGAGGAGACATAATTTTGCCTCTAGGTGATAGCTCACAGTAAATGTTCAAAATATACTTATCGAAAGGAACTTCTTAGATGGCAGTTTTCTCACCTGTAAAATAGAGGTCTTGACTGTAATTTCTGAAGGTTTTTCTACCTCTAAAATACAAATTTTCTACCTGTAAAACCTCTAAATTTCTACCTCTGGACAGCCTGTGTTAAAGTTAGTACAGAACAATGACCTCCCATGTGTGTTGGCCACAAAAATGTAGTTTGCTCATGTTCTAGGGTCTCTTCCATCTTGTGGTGCTTTCCACACTGCAAGTGCAGGTTGGCCCACTGTGACTCCTCTCCTGAACAGAACTCCTCTCCTTTAACTGATTGAGTTAAATCAGTTTTCTGAGTCATGTATCACAGGCCTTGTGCAATCCGTCTTTACCACCTGGGTGAGGCCCAGGCAAGTAACAGGGGAATGCATGACCCAAAGAGTCATTCTTTCCCTCCTAATAACTAAGATTTAATTTAGGCAGGAAAGGACAATTAGCATTCACTGGCCCTTACTGTATGCTAGGTACAATGAGAGATACTTTCACATGGGTTAATCTGTTTCATGCTTATTTTAAAGGCAGAACTACAGAGGCTCAGAGAAGTGTCTTGGCCAAATTTGCCCCACTAACACTCTTTTCTCTGAACCACTTGTAGATCTTAAATTCCTGCAAAGGCCAGAAAACATTTAAAGGGACCAGCCTGATTTTAAATATATAGGATATTTTGGTTGGTTTTGCTATTGAACATTTTTGCCAGGGGCTCCGCTGAGCATGATGATCCTTCTGACAGCTGATTGGATTATTTCCAGAGGAAATAATAAGAACTGTGTAGTATAGAGAGGTCAAGAAGGCACCAGAAGGCAGCAGAATGGGGTTTATGCTTAGGAGAGAGAGAAACAAAAGGAGTGACAAGGCTATCTTAGGATCAGGCATGCATTTCTGGGAGGGATGAGGGGATACTGCTGAGGACTGGGAAGCAACCTCTGTATCTGAGATAAAGGACCATGGGGACAGAGGATGAAATGGGGCGGTGGGAAGAAAGAAAGACAGGATGGAAGGATGGAAAGGAAGGAGGGAGGGAGAGAGGGAAGGAAGGAAGGAAGGAGGGAGGGAGGAAGGCAGGCAGGCAGGCATGTGTGTCTTCATAATTGTAGTGAGGCCTGAACTAGTGGGGACACTGGCTTGTTATTCCCTATCAGGTGGCTCAGACAGAAGTCTAGACGTGAAGCAGGGTCATACTGAAACCCAGATGCTGCTTCTTGGATAAGCGATCCAAATGAGAAACCAGCAAACCCAGGGAGGGCCCACATATCTCAGCTGCATGGCTCCCACTGAAATCCACTGGAGGAGCAGTTACATCTTTTTATAGCTCTTTGAAAATGTGTCCATCAATTCATGGGCTTGCGGACAGCTGCACTGTCCTCATTTCAGCCTTTCCACTCAGATAGTCTCACCTCCCTGTGCCCTATCCTGAGGGGAACCATGTACCATTCAGACACAGAACCTACTGGCAGTGGGAAAAGGCCCCTGAGTTCTGCAAGGGGTTACTTGCTTTAGAAATTATCATGCATCTATGGGATAATTTTAGAATATGCTAATAAATTCTTTGAAAATCTTCCCTTAGTCTAGGCTGGATTCAGTGACTCATTTCTAAGAAACAGAATAAAACAGAAATGATGGTGTGTGACTTCCAAAAGTGGGTCATAAAAGGGTTCTTAGCTTTCTCTTGGATCACGTACTCTGGAGGAAGCCAGCTGCTGTGATAAAAAGGCAGCCTTCGGGAGAGGTCCACAGGGCAAGGAGCTCCTACAACAGCCATGTGAGTAAGTCACCTTGGAGGAGGGTACTGTAGCCCCTTTCAGTCCTTCAGATGATGCAGCCTGAACTGACATCTTGACTATGACCTTGAGAGAGACCCATGCCAGAAGCACCCAGATAAGCCACTCACAAATTCCTAACACAAAAATAAACAAATTCTTAACCCACAGAAACTGTGAGACAGTAAATGTTGTTTTAAGTCATTAAGTTTTAGAGTTATTTGTTACACAGAGACAGATACCACACTAGTGTATTATCATCTTCCTTGAGACTTCAAAATATATTTCTCTTACCTCTTATTTTAGATTTGCTGGTGCATCATCATTTCAAGGTCTCCAGCCCCCCTGCAACATCTGAGCTGCTTGGCGTTCCTTCCCTGAGCTCTGATTGGTTCTAGGACTTGTTTTCCCTGGGGCTGTGATTATCATCTGCCACTCTCCCTACACACCTGACCCCAGTCACCATCCTTCCTCATTCACCAGATGATCTGACTTCTGTGTCTACACCCTTGCCAGCTGGGTGACCCTACACAGGCTAGTTTCTCTCTGTGTCTCAGTGTCTCCATATATTAATGGAGGTTAATAATGATTTTAACCACCTCCTTGGGATACTGTAAGGATTAACTGAGAGAGAGAAAACTCATGGAACAGTGCACACATAAACTCCAATGACAGCTGCCGACACTATGGAGACACGTTATTTATGGAGACATAGTATTCATAATAGGTTAAGGATATGGTCTTGGGAAGTAGATGGCTAAGGTTTAAATTCTAGCTGCATGATTTTTTAGTTATGTAACATTGGACAAGTTACTTAGAATCTCTTGGTGCTTAATTTACCATCAGGAAAATAGGAAGGATGATAGTGATGCTAAAAATAACAACTTCTGAGTGCCATTAGGAGAATTAAATGAGTGCGTCCACAGCTTAGATGATTGCTGATATATATTAAGCTCCACAGAAGTGTCTATATTATTATTATTATTATTATTGTTATCATTATTTTTTCAGTGATAAACGGTGAGCCTCCAGGGTGAAACTCCAACATCCT